CTGGGACCAGAGGCATGCATCACCGTGCCCAGCTAAGAGGTACAATTTCTATATATCAAAATGTATTTGCTGTAAGAGCACATTGGGTTTTGACAAATACATCCATCTGTGAAAGCACTACCACAATCAAGATATAACATTTTCCCATTGCTCCAGAAAGTTCCCTCCTGCCCTTTTGCAGTCAATTTCCCACCACATCCCACCTCTGGCCCTAGGCAACCACTGATCTGCTTCCTGTCCAGTCTAGAATTTCCTATGGGTAGAGTGATACACTATGGACTCCTCCGTGCCTGGCATCTTTTGCTTAGCATATTTTTGACAGCCAAGCACCCTGTTGCATGTATCAGTGGTTCATTCCTCTTTACTACTAAGTGCTGTTCCCTTGTATGAGGATACCAATTTAATTCTCCATTCATCTGGTGATGGACATTTGGCTTATGGATCAGTCAGGAGATAGAAACCAGTAATTTGAACAGGAAAATGTATTATAATTGTTAGCTAGTAAAAAGTGGTTAACAACAACAAGGGGTAAAAGAGGGTTCTAAGGTGGCTCAAACCTATAATCCCAGCACTTTGGGAGACTGAGGCAGGTGGATCGCTTGAGCCTAAGGGTTGGAGACCAGCCTTGGCAACAAGGTGAAACCCTGTCTCTACCAAAAATTCAAAACACTAGCTGGGTGTGGTGGCACATGCCTGTGGGTGGTCCCAGCTATTCAGGAGGCTGAGGTGGGAGGATCGCTTGAGCCAGGGAGGTGGAGGAAGCAGTGAGCCGAGATTGTGCCACTGCCCTCCAGCCTGGGTGAGTGACCCGCCCACCTCCCAGAAACAGAGGGCTGTAAGGGATCGAGAAGCAGCAAGTACAGTGAGGGAGAGTGGACTCTCCAAAATATTTAAATTGTGTTAAGGAGAGGAGAGGTTATTTTTCTCTTTTGATGCTATGACAATCCTTGTCAACACCATTCTTCACCACCACACTCTAGCCACATACAAACAAACTAAGAAAGAAGGGATTGATTGCTAATGTAACTATTTAGAGCCCAAAACATTCATTGGACCACATTGTACTAGTAGTCAGTCACCATGTGCCACTAGCTTAGCAGTGCTATCAATCTCTCATTCCTCCACTTTCACAGACCATGGCAGGACTCAGCTATCCCAAGCATGCCATGCAGTCCATTTGAGGCTTTACCAGTAAGTCCTTTGGAGACAGCAGATCATTGCTCAGATTTTTGTTCACTGAGCTAATTTACTTCTCTGTCATTATTTTAGAGGACAATCTGCATACAATGATACATAGCTAATTCTTGAGTATCCTTTAAACTTCGTTTCATTGTAGCTTAATGCAGAATATACTTACACAGTGTCATCCTGAAGTGACAATTAGAAAAGCATACGGATATTTTCAAATTCGTGTTTAGTTTTATAATGTGTGACTATTCTCTTAAAAGCTTTAGGAAAGATTTTAGGAATTCTATTTTTATGAGATTAGTATATTTTAATTGCCCACATTGTTTGTTGGTGATTCAATTTTTTTCACCTTAAAAATATTAATGTGGGGCTTACAAGCTCATAAATCAGTTACTGTTCAAATTTTTTAAAAAGCCGGCCGGGCGCGGTGGCTCACGCCTGTAATCCCAGCACTTTGGGAGGCCGAGGCGGGCAGATCACAAGGTCAGGAGATTGAGACCACGGTGAATTCCCGTCTCTACTAAAAATACAAAAAATTAGCCAGGCGCTGTGGCGGGTGCCTGTAGTCCCAGCTGGTCGGGAGGCTGAGGCAGGAGAATGGCGTGAACCCGGGAGGGGGAGCTTGCAGTGAGCCGAGATTGCACCACTGCACTCCAGCCTGGGGGACAGAGCGAGACTCCGTCTCAAAAAAAAAAAAAAAAAACAAACAAAAAAAAAAAAAAACTGACGTGCCTTGGCTAGTGCAAACAGTAAAACAGTTTTTTAACTGTGTTTGTTTGATTAGCTTGGAATCTAACAAACATTCTGTAAGAAGTCACTACCAACAGATAGCCTGGCACTTCCTTCCTTACTAATGAAATGTTATGCATCTCAGTACTTTCTACGCAAGGAAAAGCAATATTGTATAAGAGTAATTAAAGTGTTCACAATTAGGTTCATACTCTGGTTTCTCTTCAGATCGTATACATCTTTTGTCTTTTACTAAAGATTTCTGTGGAAAGGAACAATTCTGAGTTTCTGACTAAGTTTTGTTTTGTTTTGAGACGGAGTCTTGCTCTGTTGCCCAGGCTGGAGTGCAGTGGTGTGACCTTGGCTCACTGCAACCTCCGCCTCTTGGGTTCAAGCCATTCTTCTGCCTCAGCCTCCCAAGTAGCTGGGACTACAGGCACTCACCACCATGCCAGGCTCATTTTTGTATTTTTAGTAGAAACAGGGTTTCACCACGTTGGCCAGTCTGGTCTTGAACTCCTGACCTCAGGTGATCTGCCCCCCTCGGCCTCCCAAAGTGTTGGGATTACAGGTGTGAGCCACTGTGCCCGGCCTGACCAAGTTTTTGAGGCCTTGCATATGTGGCACTTATTTTTATTTATTTATTTTAATTTTTATTTATTTTTTATTTTTTTATTATTATTTTTTGAGTCTTACTCTGTCACCCAGGCTGGAGTGCAGTGGCATGATCTCAGCTCACTGCAACCTCTGCCTCCGGGGTTCAAGTGATTCTCGTGCCTCAGCCTCCCAAGTAGCTGGGATTACAGGCATGTACCACCACACCTGGCTAATTTTTGTATTTTTAGTAGAGACAGGGTTTCACCATGTTGGCCAGTCTGGTCTTGAACTCCCGACCTCATGTGATCCACCCGCCTCGGCCTCCCAAAGTGCTGGGATTACAGGTGTGAGCCACCATGCCTGGCCCAGGGCTTATTTTTTAAAAAATGTTACAGATATTAAAGTTTGTATATTTTCCTAGTAGCATCAACAACCTGTTATTACCTAGATAACCACCCTTCTTTCATCACTCAAATATAAATTGAGGGGCTATATAGGACCAGAGTTCTGCTACATACCAGAAAAGTGAAGAACCACAGAGTCCAACTCTTGCTCTGTGGAGTTTATAGCACAGCTAAGAAGACACAGAAAAGTCATTACAAGTGTTTTTGAAGAAGTACAGGGTGCAATAGGACCTAAAGGTCAATTACCCAGACTGTGGCTCACCCTGATTTCTTGATTCTTCTTGTATTTTCTTTTCTTTTTTTTTTTTCTTGCTCTGTCGCCCAGGCTGGAGTGTGGTGGTGTGATCTCTGCTCACTGCAACCTCCGCCTACCAGGTTCAAGTGATTCTCCTGCTTCAGCCTCCGGAGTAGCTGGGACTACAGGCGCCCGCCACCACACCTGGCTAATTTTTTGTATTTTTAGTAGAGACGGGGCTTCACCATCTTGGCCAGGCTCCTCTCGAGTTCCTGATCTCAAGTGAGCCTCTCGCCTTGGCCTCCGAAAGAGCTGGGATTACAGGTTTGAGCCACTGCACCCGGCCTCATTTTATTTTTATAGAGACAGAGTCTCACTATGTTGCCCAGGCTGGTCTTGAATTCCCGAACTCAAGTGCTCCTCCTGCCTCCGTCTCTCAAAGTGCTGGGATTACAGGCCTGAGCCAACGTGGCCAGCCACTTCCATTTCAAAATTGAAAAAAGAAAGTGAAGATACAAGCTACATTAAATGATGGTATGCATGCACATTTATCTTCCAGGAAGAATATTATTCAGTCAAATAATCGAGGTTCTCTCAGGCAACCTCTCTGGAAGGTTTGCTTGTGTGTCTGGTGGTAGATACCCCAAATCCCCAAAGAAGAAAGCAGGGAGTGGTGTGGAAGGCGTTGCCATGTGGAGATGAATTGGATTCAGTTTTCTATCTTTTAAGTTTTATTTTTACTTACATGGCTGGGCACAGTGGCTCATGCCTGTAATCCTAGCACTTTGGGAGGCCAAGGCGGGAGAATCGCTTGAGCCCAGGAGTTTGAGAGCAGCCTGGGTAATATAGTGAGACTCCGTCTCTTAAAAACATTATTTTTTTAAATAAATAAATTTTATCTTCACTTAGGTGGAGACAGAGTCTCCCTATATTGCCCAGGCTGGTCTTGAACTCCTGGTCTCATGGGATCTTCCCACCTGGGCTTCCCAAACTGTTGGGACTACAGGCGTGAGCCACTGAGCCCAGTGAGTTTCCTTTCAAAGGAAAAAGAAGTGGTTGTCGAGCTCTTTCCGAAGAGGCAAAAGACAGAGCTGAGCAGGGCAAGAAAGCCGTGCCCTTGGGAGGAGCAGAGTTCAGGGTCTAATTCCTGTTGCTTTAGCCTCCGATTGCTACCTGCCGGGAGAGCCGATAACATCGCATGGGTACAGGGCTGCGGAACTGGAGCGCCTGGGCTATTTACACTGACCTGGAAAATGTCAGGATAAATGACAGAAGGCGGGGGTTGGTGACTGCACTCCTTCTAGAAGTCTCAACGCTTTGTGGGTATTGAGTTGTGTTTTTTCCCCCTCACCGTTGACTTATCACTAAGTCACTGAGGAAGGATGGCCTGTAAATCGGAAGGGAGGGACTTAAAGTGAGACAGGCACCCCCCACACAGGTCACAGTTTAAAAGAAGATGGTTCAGACCGTTATGCGAAATGATCTCAGAGTGGCTGTTCACCTTCCCCAAAGCTGCATTAAAAAAAATTAGGATGGGTGACATCCCCCTTAGAAGACAGACCCCCCACACTGAGACTAGCCCTCTTATCGGCTGGCCAGGGCGAGGAGGGGTGTGTGCAGGGTCGCCCTCGATGCCGCAGCCGGAGCAGGTGGGCATGAATGCGGCCCCACGCCAGGCTCGGCCTTCTAGCCCGCTGGGCGCGCGCGCACGGTAGAAGCGCGCGCCTCCGCCCCTCGCGAGCGCGCCCCCCACCCCTCACCGTTGCACGCGCCGAGCCCCGGTGCCCCCGCCTGCCCCGCGCTCCCACAGCCCGAGCGCCGCTCAGCTGACCCGCGGGCGCCAGACGCGGCGGCTCTCAGCTCGCGAGCGCAGCTGCGGCGGCGCGGACCTCTCAGGGCGACACTCCCCCCGCGCCCCTCCCCCACCTGGCCGGGCTCCGGACCCGCCGCGCGCGAGCCCGCGGCCGCTTCCCCCGCGCCGAGCGAGGAGGCAGGCTGCGGCGGCGAGAGGCGGCTGCGCGGCCATGGGCGCGCCAGTGTCGCCCTAGGGCGGGCGCAGGTACCACAGCCGGAGCGGTGGAGGCAGCCTCCACAGAAAGCCTTCCCGGGCGGCGGCGGCGGCCACTAGAGCAGCGCGACCGGGATGAGCGGGAGCGGCGCGGCGCCCGGCCCGGGCTCGGGCTCCTCCCCGGCCGCCTGCCGCTTCGCGCACTACTTCGTGCTGTGCGGGATCGACGCGGACAGCGGGCTGGAGCCTGACGAGCTGGCGGGTAAGGCTAGGGCTTGGGTTCCCTCAGGCGGCGCTGGGTTCCCTCAGGGGCGCGGGGGACGCTGCGGGGACGCGCGGGAGGCGGGGTGCGGGCTCCAGACAAAGTCAGCTCCCAGCGGCGTCCCCCCGCCTCTCTCTGGCCGAACGGGCGCTCGGGCGCGATTTAATGACATTGTTATTTATTCCGCGTGCGGGCTGTGCGGCTGCGCCCACCCGGGCTTTCGCCTCCGGGCGCTGGGTTATTAATAACGGGCGCGGGGGTGGCCCCAAGGGCATGGTCCCCGCCTGGTGCGTCGGCCCCTTCGCCCGCAGCCGCACGCGGAGGCGGCCAGTGACTCACCGGGAGCGCGGGTTGCCCCCCGGCCGCCGTGCCCGCCTCCCACCCGCCGGCCTCCCAGCCCCGGCCGCGAAGTTTCGGCCCCGCACGTGACGCCGCTCTCGGGCCTCTTGGGGGAGGGGGAGTCGGACTCAGCTCGGCTGCCGCGGGGGTAGAGTCCGCGGAGGCGCCGGTGGCCGTGCGGTGCGAGCGCGGGGCGGAGGCCGGTCGGACTTCATCGTGGACTCTGCCCTCTGCGCCGCCTCCCGCTCTGCGGTGCCGGCCAAGTCACCTTTTGGAATCCTGTGGATTTGGCCGCGTCTGGGAGCTGACGGGGACCTTTGGACGCTCGGGATCCAGCACCGCGCTTTGTTGACACTGCCTACACTGTTCCCGAGTTTAAACTCACTTGGGTGCACCGTGTGTTAGTGCCTGGTTTTCCCGGAGGGGTACCGGTCCCTCTGCTTGATTCATTTGATGGCGCAGTGCGGGGCTGTGTTGGGGAAACGATGCGGGGAAAAGGGGCCGTTAAAGGGCAATGGAGGGGCGGCGGAGTGCGCAGTGTCGAGAGGAGGCCGGGGATAAACGACTGATTTCATTTTTCACCCATGTTCCTTTCCGCTTGCCTCCGCGGGATCTGAATCTTGATATGTTGTTGTCGTTAAATGGGTGAGAGAAGTGACATCTACCGCCTGAACTTTGTGTCAGTGTTAAAGACTTAGGTCATAGCCTTTCAGAACAACTTCCTTAGGACAGATAATTCCTTATTGATTGCACCAACGTAAATTTTTCGCTTTTCCTTTGGTGGGGGTGGGGAGACTGGGAAGAATATATTAAATAATAAACAATAGTAAACAAAACTGTTAAGCCTTAAAATACAGTCCGAAAACCCACGTCTTGGCTATCTTTTTCTTAGCTTCACAGCAAAACATTTTCTTTTTTTCATATTCTTTGGAGGTAGAAACACAAAACATTTTCAACAAAAACTGTAAGTCTAGTTTTAAATTTTGGAGAACTAATAGAATACCAGGTTTTTCTGTATGTGTAATTATGTAATCACATTGTTTCTTCAACTAAGATTTCATGTACATCTTAAGAATGGCTTTGTCAAAGGATATGAAGAAAAAATGTCTGCAGAGAGATTAGGGGAGATTCTTCTCAAACTTGGTGAAGGAATATTCTTATTTTTCTAGACTCCTTTCTTCCCTAAAGATCCTAAACATTTGTGGCACCAGAGTCACTTGGAGGCCTTCTGTCAGTGATGACTGATGAAAGGAAAAAAGCCTGTATTTTTTCTTCTCCATTTGCTTCCTGAGGCTAAAACAGTACCTTTTAGGTGTGACCTAGGACTCTTTAGGCACAGTGAGAATGACGTTAACAATACCATCAGACTTTAATGCATTTTTAAGAAACAAACTCTGATGTCTCTTTTTGCAAAACTGTGAGTGTGGGTGATTGGGATTTCTGCTTCTCATAATATTTAATGTAATCAGGTAATAATGTATTTTGCCTGGTAATATTTCGGTAGCATTCATCCAACAGTTTTGAAAGCGTCTATCTGTAGTTGGTTTTTTAGGCACTGGGGACAGCTGTGAGGAAGGCAGTCAGAAATCCCTGCCATCATGGAGCATACGTTCTAGTGTAAAGAGATAATGAAAATACAATAATCTCTCCGTAACCATGGGTGATGGATTCTAGAGTGTCCCCCACACCAAAATCATCGGATGCTCAACTCTCTTATAATAAAATGGTGTAGCATATATAACCTATGAATATTTTCCTATACACTTTGTCATCTCTAGATTACTTATAATACCTATTAACATTGTAATGTTATGTAAATAGTTGTTATACTGTATTGTTTAGGAAATGATGACAAGAAAAAAAGTCTGTGCATGTTCACTACAGATGCAGCTATTGTAGGGCTAACTACATTTTCAATCTGTGCTTGGTTGAATCTGTGGATGTGGAGTCCACATGAAGTGCTGACTGTATATAGTTCTCCAGATGTTAATAAGTGCTATGAGGAAAAATAAAGCAGGGGAGTAGATTTAGGGACATGTCAGCAGAGTGGTAGGATGGTGGGGTTGTGATTTTAAATAAGATGGTTTAGGGAAGTCCTCACAGGGAGGGTGACATTTGAACAGAGCCTTGAAGGAGGTGAGGAAGCAGGCCAGATGGATCACCTGGGGGCACAGCATTGCAGGCAGAAGAAACAGCAAGTGCGAAGACCCTGAGTGGGACAGTCCCTAGTTTGTACTGGTAACAGCAAGGAGTCCAGTATCCCAGTTACTCCGGAGACTGAGGCAGGAGGATCACTTGAACCCAGGAGGTGGAGGTTGCAGTGAACTGAGATTGTGCCAGTGCACTCCAGCCTGGGCAACAGAGGGAGACTCTGTCTCAAAAAAAAAAAAAAAGGTGTTTGTGGTGAGAGATGTTGTTGGCTTGGTGAAGTGGCAGGAAGGACTCAGATTCTAGACAGATGTTGAAGGTTGACCCAATGAGATTTGCTGATGATTTGTATGAATATGTATGAAATCTATGAATATGGTAGTCATATTGAAAGAAAGTGATCAAAGATGACTCCAAGATTTTTGGACTGAACAGTTGTAAGCTTCTCTCCTGAAATAGGAAGACTGGTGGAGAATCAGCCTGGAAATCAGTTCAGTTTTGGATGTGTTAAGTTGGAGGTGTCCATTAGGTGTTCAAATGGAGATGTCACATAGACAAGACATCTCTTGGGGGAAGATCTGGACTGTAGGTATAAATTTAACGCCATGAAATTAGATGAAATTACTTGAGGGTTGAGTATAGATAGAAAAGAGAGGAGGACACTCAAATGGTTGAGCCCTGGGGCCATTCTAGCATGCATAGGTGGGGAGAATGAGGAGGAGACAACTGAGGAGATTGAGGAGTATGGATAGTGACATGGCAGGAAAACAGAAGAATGTCGTATCATGTTCTCAACTAAGAATTTTCTTGACTATTTCTGTAGAGCAACATTTGGGGATCATGAAACTGTGTTAGGCAAATGAGCCAGAAGGTGGTTTCTGTTTTGCTGCATTAATTTCAAAGTTAATGATAGTTAAGTTTCTATTTTGCCTTGCTGGAGCTGATCTGTCTTTATCACACTTTCTTAGCAAGTTGTCACCCTGCCTCTAGAAGGTCTTAATTGACTTCTATTAAACATAAATTCTACCAGTTTGCTTCATAGACTTTCTTAACATATGCATGTTCCTAGAATTCACACTGCAGGTGGTGGGACATTGAAATCAAAGTAAAGACAGTAACAGTTAAATAGACTAAGACCTTATAATAAAACTTATCAAGGCTTCAAATAGTTTTTAGACACTCCTAGTAAAACCCAGCTTAAACAGCAATGGAAAAGACTTCTTTCATCTCAAATACATAGATCTCTTAATAGCTGAAAATAATTTAACTATATACATAAAAATATATTTAAAAATGGAGGACTTAGAAACTTTATGGTGATGTCCACATGTATATACTGATATACTCATATTACCTGTTGTCCTTTCTGTACCACATCTTAGTTGTTATGCTTCTCCTACTCATTGTATATTTTCAAGAGGCACTTTGTCCATAAACAAAATATCCTTTGGGAGAAATGTTTAAATTTCCTTTAAATATTAAAGATAAGGAAAAAGTTTCAAAGCGGAATTCTTTATTGCATATAGAAGAAAGGAGGTATAAATGGAGGTAAATCATGCAATTAGTTGATGTCAGGGAAGGCAGACATCATTTTGAAATCTTATTTTATAGCTCTTATTTCCTTTAAAACCTGGCTATAGGAATACACATGGCTTAATTTACAGCAATCTTTTGAGCAATGGGAAAATGAAGGACATGATAAGGCCTTTATTAAGTGACATAAATATACAGGCCCTCTAAGAGAGCAGGGAGTTTGTCTCTTTCATAGTGTCTTATATATAGTACACAGTGTTTAATAAGGGAATGAATATAAGTTTACATATGAGTCTATAAATTATGTGATGACCAGAATATTCTTAGTGTTCCCTTGGTAGTCTGGATTCAGCCCTCCTAATAGTTGTTGAAGTCTGATAGATGAGCTCTCTGCCATAGAGCTTTGTTTAGATCTTTTCCTTGGTGTCTCTCTGCAGCTATTTTTAGCTTTGGTTGTATTGGGTGTGGTTTTCAAAAGAGCGTAGAGACAGTGGGACCATGATCTGAATTCAAATAAGTATAAAATTTAGTCGAGACTGACAGAATATGTCACATTAGTTCTTGAAGGGACCGTAAACATATTTACGGTAAAGAAACTGAGGCTCAGAGATTAAGGGCCCTCTCAGATTACATTTGATCAGCAGTAGACACCTGACTAGTGCCTGGTTGTTCCAGTGCACTATGCTCCGTAGTTATTCTATTTAAGCTCAGAAAAAAGATGAGCTTGACTCATTCAACAAGCATTTCAGGATTGCCCTTATTCCAAACTGAATGTCATAGTCAAGACTGTGCTGAAGTGTGTCTTTTAAAAACAGTTGCCGGGTGTATAGGCTTAGGTGGAATAGAAGCTACCCTGATCCAAATACCATTGGTACTGTGTCAATTGTTAGCTTTGTTGACATCCTAGGCTCACAGTAGATTCCTGGGAGTTTGGAAGGTCTGCTCCGGGTAGCTCGGGGGCTGGGGAAGGAGTAGTGCAG